CTAGGGTCGACGCGGTCGGGGCGGCACGCGCACTAGAGACACGCCAGGACGTGTGTGGGCGGTGAGGGAGTGGCACGCGCGAGCAGCGGCCGGCTGGCCAGCAGTAGCGCTGGGCTAGGGCATGGACGCGACGTTGAGTTGACCCCAACGCGCGCAACGTGGGGGGGGGGGCAGCGAGGGGACAGGGGCTGGTTGCGGCCAACCCCGGCCGAGCCAGGATGGACCGGGCTAGCCCAGCGCGATAGCGCGGCCAGGCGCATGACATCGGTGGCCCACGAGGTGACCGCGCACGCCGAGGCCGACAGCCGAGACAAGTGTCCGTGCACGATTTTTAAAGCCCGCGTACCCACTAACCAAGCTTGAATCGAGCTCATCCAACTATACAATACCCGAGAGGGTACCTAGGGCTAGCTACCAGGGCTAAGCCACGACACAATCTACTAACAAATTCAAGCAAAATAAATTCCCGAACATGGCCTGGTCAAGCTGTTTTCAGACTTGAAAATCACTCTAAGTCTTGGGCTAATTTTTGTTGCAAGTTCAATCTTCGAGCAACTAGAACTATCAGCTAGCAATAACACCTTGCTAAGACAAACGTTGCATTATCATTTACAAAGTTGCATTAACTTTGTAATTTCTTTTTTAATTGCTGCCTTCTTGTCGGGTGAGAATCGTCGTAGCCGTTGCTTCACAGGCTTGAAGCCTTCATTGATATCAATTCTGTGCTCAGCCAACTCTCTTGGGACACCTGGCATGTCGGCCGGCTTCCAAGCAAAGATATCTTTGTTGTCCCGAAGAAAGTTGGTGAGCTCGAGTTCCTATTTTGCCGAGAGGTGTGCATCGATGGTTGCCGTCTTGGAGGGATCACGGTGCCTAGGTCGATTTGCTTGACGTCGGCTTCTTTTTTGGTGGTGCGAGGATGCTCGGCCTCTTAGCCGGGATCTCTAGTTCTTCCGGGTTCATTTTCGTAGCAATAGTGGCTATTTCTTCCCTTCCTTTTGGCGGCTTGTGCCTTGGCCATAATTTGAATTACTGAACATCGCGATCGAAGGCACGCTTTGATCACTTCGAGAGAAAGAACACCGTTGGGACCTGGCATCTTAAGCAATAGGTACAGGTAATGTGGTATCGCCATGAACTTTGCTAGTGCTGGACGTCCAAGGATGGCGTGATATGATGATTCGAAGTCTGCAACTTCAAATTTGATAAACTCTGTACGGTAGTTTGAGGGAGTGCCAAAAGTAACTGGTAGAGTGATTTGTCCAAGTGGCATGGCTGCCTTGCCGGGTACTATCCAATAGAAAGGGACACTTGTTGGAGTAATCATCCCGACGAGTTGTAGTCCCATCTTCCTTAGTGTTTCTGAAAAAATGATGTTGAGTCCGGCTCCCCCGTCGATTAGCACTTTTGTGATGGTCATACCGACGATAGTTGGATCTAAAACCAGTGGATAGTGGCCGGCGTTCCCTACACTAGTCCATTGATCTTTCCTTGAAAACTGGATTGGATACTACGACCAATTGAGGTATCTTGGAGTAGCCGGTTCTGCTGCCATGATGGTCCATAGAGCCAGCTTGTCTTGATGCTTGCTTCTAGAACCCGGGATCCCGGAAAAGATCACTGCTACTGTCTCCTTGGATTTTTGGAATCTCTTATCTTCATGGTTGTCTTCATCTTTTTTCTGATTGTCTTCTTTGTTGTCCCCCTTATTATCTTTTCTCGTGTATCGATTAATGAAGGTGTAGCAATCTCCGATGGTGTGATTTCCTTTAGGGTGCCGATGGGTGCTCTGCTTCTAATCTCCTTCGGTTGTTCGACTCGGTTGCTTTGACTGTGGTCTCTTCTACTTTCTCTGTTGTGACTTCCGCTTGGCCCAAGTCTCTCGAAAGCGGACTTTCTTTGATTTTGATCTTCCTGTCTGTGAGATGTTGACCTGGCGGGTAGCCTCGAGCGGGTCCTTCCGTCGTGTGTTCTTAAGGCCGTTGATCGAAGAATATCCCGGAGCTGTTCTTGTTCTTCATTGGGATGTGAGATTGCTCCGAGTTCTTCTAGTGCTTCTCGGATCCTATTGTAGGGTATTTTTGCCGTGCGTCTTTCTTCGGCTTCTTGCTCTGATTTTCTTCTATTGTACTCGGCCAGATCTGACTCATATCTGATCCAAGCTTCTTTGCGCTGCCTGGCACGGCGTTGGCGTTCTTGTTTCAATTTGTTTCTTCTTTCCCTGGCTTGTTTCTGGCTCTCGGTTTCACCATCGTGCCACTAGGTAAAGGGTGATATGTTGGATTCGGATTCATCCGATGACCTGATGTCGGGTGCTTCTGGAGGGGCCAACGGTGATCAGGGACGGCGAACCATGAATACTTCTCGTGCGTGAAGTGTTCTGTTATTGACGTCGGCTTCCACGCTGTCAGAGTTGTTGAGAACTTCATTAGAGGCTTCAGGGTCGTAGATTGAGTCTCCTTCTTGGTAGGGTAGAACCATTGTCGTTGTCGTGTCGTCTAGCAGGGTACTGTTATCCTCAGGAACAGAGCCTGGCCAGTGGACGATGCAGTCTTGAGATGTTATAGTTAGTACGAGGCCTTCCTGAGCTCCTTTTAGTGGCATTTTTAGCACCGGATCGATAGATCTTTCGAGTTGTGCCTGATAAGATGTTGCCATGTTATGGAGCCCAAACGGAAAAGGACCAGACTTCTTGAAAGAACTCTGAATGTTCTCCGAGTTGAATTCTTGATAGGTTGATGCCGCGTTCCGGAGCCCCGTCGAAAAAGAACTCGGACTATTGTGGAAAGAACTCGGGTAAGACTCCATCTCGGATGCGGAACCTGAGCCTGAGTGGGATGCGGTTGGCCATGAAGTCTGAGTCGGATCAGACATCACGAGCTGCGTGAGTCTTCCGGCGAGTTGATCTATCGTAGTTGTCGAAATAGCGAGGTCTTCATGGCGATCTGAATCTTCGAGGAGACAGTTTTAGAGCTTGCCGTCGTCGTCCGCCTCACAGATCCATTATCCGAAGATGAAAGTTGATCCTGTTGAGAATATCGTGTTGTCGAGGTCCATCGAGCTCTCGGATGCAAATCCACCGAAAGCCCCTACCTGGCGCGCCAGCTGTCAATGTTTTACCACCGATAGCCTGCCACGGGGTACCGGGGCAGTTGTTCGGGGTTCGGCGTATGCAGAACTCGGCGGTTAACGCAAGAGACAGCCGATTTATCCTGGTTCGGGTCATCGACCGTGATCGAGTAATAGCCCTACGTCCAGTCGGCGTTAGCCTTTTGCGTTGGATTGATTGGTATATGTTCCAATTGTCCTTAGACCTTCTCCTCTGGACTTTTTACTTTCTATCTTACCGATCTAAGGAGCCTTGCCCTCCTTTATATAGTCCAGGAGACAAGAGTCCTAGTCGGTTTACAATGTAGAGTCCTAGTAAGATTACGTGGTAGTACTACTACTAGGATTACATGGGAAGATATCCTAGTTAGACTAGATCTTCTCTCTTCCTTGCATGGGTATCCCGTGGATCCCGTGATCGACAACTTCTTATGTCTTCCAAAAATCCGAAACATGGACATAGGAAGATCCAAAGATCATACAAATTTGATGGATTAAAAAAAAAATAGATGACGCTGAATCCATTTGTACAAGAACCAATCCAAAAGATGAAGTAGATATTTAACTAAAATTCTTCAAAGTTGTATATGTGGTTAGCTTTGTTTGAATTATAGAAGCATCAAAACATTCCTAAAAATATGTGAAAATTCATTAAAATTCATTTTTAACATCTATTTATGAAATTAATTTCCATCATAATTTATGTTCAAAATTTTGAAGTTACTTAAGAAGGTGTGTTTTCCAATTTAATTTATTAATTTGAGTTTAAATTACGATTGCATTTACTTATGCAATGGACATGATTAAATGATACACATGATGCTGGATTAGGTTCATTAACATGCAATACAAAATTTGCATGTTACAAATATTTGTAAATCTTAAATTAAAAATCCTCAAACTTGACATCCTTTTGACTCTCCTTAGTGCTTTAGGACTTCGAAACAAACTGAAATGGGGGGGGAATGTGAAACCACCATAATTCATGTTAGCCTACATATCAAGAAGGACATTTGTTCTGGGATAACCGCATCGAAAAGGTCTTAATTCTTTCTGAACACAGCAGACATGCTGTTTGACGTGAACATTCCGATAAAGGAACAGAACTAGTGCTGGGCATGGGACGTTGCACATCACACAGACCATTCGCTGCTCCTAGTCTGGCCCCAATTTGGATTCAGGATTCATGTGAAATTTATACGAAGTTCTAATAAAATTCAAATATAGGATCAAAGGTGGTGCTTGAATGCACATCACCCTCACTCATCAGGAAAACCATGTAGTTCACGGATGATTCACAGAGTAATGAAGTTCAGCCACATCAAGTCTAAGTCTCCGCAATATGAACAAAATTGTTCTCTAAACAGCACGGCACAGTCATCATCACAAAACAGCTAAAATAAATATCACCATGACGTCACAGAAACAGCTGATGACCTTGTACGGTGTACAAATAAACTTTGATACAAATGATTCATGGAAGTACTAGGTTCAGCCAGTCAGCACCATTTCTGACCATTCTCCATGTTTTACAACAAAAAAATGTCAGGGAAGATATGGCTAAATACCATGCAGGTTTTGTTATGAACGACGTATAGGAATATGAAGTAAAGAATCAAGCCACAGAGGAGACACACGATTTAACGTGGAAAACCCCTCCGATGTGAAGGGGAAAAACCACGGGCACCAGCCAGCAACAATCTCACTATCTCAAGAGTTTTGGGTTACACGCCTATGGCGGCTTACAAGAGAATCGAGTCTCCGGCGACGGGCCTCCGCTCCGCTCCGTCAGAAGCCCAGCCTATATCCTGGAGTGAATTTGGAACAACTCCAACAGGTTTTTCACATGGTTGTTCAAGCCATGGAACATATAAACAATCATTTGAAGCTCCTCATGGCTTCTCTTCCTTTGCAGCTCCTGTCGGGGCTTCCTCCCCCTTACTCTGCTCCACCATACTTCCTCCCACATCTGCACATTTTCGAAAAATATGGTCAGCTGAGTCATGAAATGAACATAACTTGTAGGGTGTATAGCGGAAAATGGATGGAGACAGCCAGTCAAGGTTGAAATGGTTTTCAAGGGCAAAACAACTTTCTCTTACATACGTAGAAGATTTCTTATCATTGAGTAGACCTCAAGATCATGAAAAGTAGATCACCAAGGAAAGAAGAAAACCACATGACCTGACCAAAAAAAAACTACTTGATAGACCCAGGACTCTTCGCAACATTGTATACAAATCGACATAAGCCGTGACTTATTTGCGGCTGCAGCTACACGCAAGCATGAAAGGCAACGATAAATCTAGTTGCTGTCTAGGTCAATTTTCAGAGTGGATTATTCTTGATGGGGCTTGAAAAGGTCGTACAAGTATTTATAGACTCTGATTAGAAGAACTGGCTAAACATACCACTATAACAAATGCCATCTAAAGTGCTAAAACCAAAGGCTGCTCTGCCATATGCTCTTCAGAGCTTCAAGATACAAATGTTCTATTAACAGGATTCCAATAGTTAGATAACCCACACACTAGAATCTCCAGTTCTGCATTGTAGTTCTAATACATGTCCATCTTGAAGCATGAATCCAGGAACAGGTTCCTCCCCAAGACCCCAACTAGTGAATCACTTGCCTACCACTACATCTCTTCCTTTTGAATCCTGAGCCAAGCTCGAGCATATGATTGGGCCACGTCGCCTATATTTTCTTAACCGTCGGATTCCCGAGCCACTATCGATCGAGCCGTTGATCTGGCCGTCCAGCTTGCCCGCACAAAAAGCCTTGAACCCTGTGCCCTCCGTCGCGCCCGCGCGCACTGCAAGCGCAGCTAGCTCACCTTGGTTCTAGGGTAATAAAGTAAAAAACATATTCTAGGGTATCAACACTATCTACACTCCTTTGGTTCAGTCATTTGACATTATCTTAATAGCAGCTGCAATGTCAAAATCAGATACATAGCAGTAGAAGAAAGAGTAATCTCCGGATGGCAACAGTTGTTTGCTGTATAAAATCACCATGCATTATTTTGCATCTCTTTTGTTGTACACGTATCTATGCACGATTTCGCTAAGCAGCACATTCCTTTGTTGTTCTGCAAGTACATGAAGTTCTGCAACGATGGAACTGGCCTATTCAGGTGGGGGCACGACAACGCCGTGCCAGTTTTCTAGTTCTATTCTTCATTCTGGACACCATAGATGAAAAGGAGAGAATGGCGCACCTTCATTAGCTTTTTTTTCTGACCGAACTTCATTAGCTTCGTTCATCACTTCGTTTTCATCATTCTGAAGATCAGAAGCTGCAGCTCTGATATCCAGCTTCTGCAGATACAAAACACCATGAAAATCTTTCATGAATCATCACATAATGCTTTTGTCAGATACCTAACGAGTCGATCTTCAAGAAAACAGGGGGGTTGCCCTCCTTCTTCAGCAGCCTCGGCCACCACTTGCTATCAGCCTTCTTCAAAAGGTAGCGTACGTCTTTGACTCCAACTATTTTTTTTATCTCCTGCAAACAGCAAAACCTATATAATCAGAATGTAGTATGTACCCAGAAGGTAGAACCAGTCAACAATTAAACCAACCTCAAGGTTAATAGCGTCAAATAGCTCGAGGTCAAGCTCGTATGGCATGTCATCAGCTCCCATTGCAGAGAAGTGAAAATGGCCCTCAGGCTTCAAATCCAGCATAATATCCTTTGCCTCAGGCAACTCAACTACTATGAACAGCTTGTCAAAGCTTTGAGACCACTTAGTGTTAGGATGGGGGCTGCAATGATAAACAACATGAAATTCATGGACATAACCATCGTGTAATTCCTTTTAATTGCTCAAGGACTAAGGCACATCGAATATTGGCTAAAACATACCTTCTCTTCTTTTCTTCTGCAGGAACCAGAGAAAAGTCAAAAAGTCAGATAACATGTAACACCATTGAAATTAAAAAAACAGCAATAAAACATCACTTACTGTTATGAAATGAGACGAAGCTGACTGGGTTCAGTTCTGGAATCTTGGTTCCAACATGTTTCTCACTTGGCGTTCTTAAAAAAAACCATTAACGAATCTGACTTGTTTTGGAACAGTCCTTCCGGAATCGATGAATCAAAACTGATCCACAAGTCTCTCTTGGCAGTTTTAGATATGGTTCTGTGCTCGACATTTAAGATAATCATTCTACAGTTCTCACTGTCTTCACTAGTCTCCTCAATTCTGCAGTCCTCATACATTTTCAAGATCTTACTTCTAGCTTCAGACTGAGATTCCTTCATCACAATAAAAACCTTGGACGGTCTCAATGCTGTAATAATGTGGGACAATATATCTGCTTTATCCTTTTCTTCAACTTCTGACTGGTATCTTTGGTGCAAGTCCAGAGGACTTAACTGCTGCGAGTCTAGAGGAGGACTTTGACTGCTGCGAGTCTAGAAGACTTGACTGCCTTGACTCCTCCCTTACTGCAAGAAATAAGAGTGATTAGTTTCAAAACTAACTGTACCAAAAAAAAAGAAAGAAAGAGACCAATTAGGGAGCAACTTATACCATTAATGTTAACCAAAAGGTTAGGAATAAAATTAATAAAACCATTGAGGTAAAGAATAAAATTAATAAAACCATTGAGGTAAAGATTTTAGTTTCTTACTTTTCTTAATCAAACTGTTGAAGGAGCCTTGTTTTTGCGTGAATTTAAACAGCGGCTTCCCACTAAGGTAACTTTTCACCTTTTTCAGAAGGCTTCGGAGGTCCACATTAGTGTCAGGTCCTTCTAACTTCATTACCCTCATCAAGCCATCAACCCAAAACATCTTCTCCCTTTGCTGCCATTCGGGGATCAAACTTGTGTAATACCTCCTCATATACTTTAGCAACTTCAAAAGATCAGCATTCCTATCATCTAGATCAATTCGATGAGCTCCCCAAAGTGTATTGAACACTAATTGACAATCTGAACAAACTTCAAAGGGGTGCAGATGTAAACCCAATCTGATACCTTCCTTGAGAAGTAGAAACATCGCCATTGCTTCTGCTTCTTCGATAGAATCCTCGCATGGATAATCTTTGATAACAATACTCGATAATATCTCACTAGTGCTCGTCCATATAGCGATGCATATCGAAGCTTTACTGTTCTTCTTGTTATTCTTATCCTCAAGAAAAGATGCATCACACTCTCCCTTATATAGCGGGGAGCCATCAAAAGTGACTCCACGCTTATAGAGAGTAGTCCCGAATGAGGCACCTAAGGAGTTATCCCAATCCTCAATTACCAAACATCCTTTTTCACTTAGGAAATCCAAGAAGATGCTCCAATATAACTCTGTCATGTTTATCATCGCCTCCATCAAGTCGATACTTGTCAAATACTTAGCATCTGTTACATGTTTCTTATACTCTTCAAGCAACTTGATGCCCCTATGGTCACTGAGAGAATAAGGTGATAAAAGAACACGTGCAACTAGTGCAGGTCTAATCTTCTCGTAGTATAACTTCTTTAACATTTCCTTCGACTGGTGTTTCTTGCACTCTTTTAAGACATGTTGCAGTAATTCTTTCAAATAGCTTGCACTTAAGTTCTGGAGGTTACCCTCAAGGCATGCAATCTTGTCCACGACATCTTCTATGCCGGATGACATTTCATCCCTAGCACTCTCGCATTCCTCTACTGACAACAGGTTAATCCCTTTTGTCACTGGATCTGAAAATGTGCTTAGCAACCGCTTTGTTGGCTGAGTTCCCTATGAGTAGACGAAGGTAAAGTAAATAAACAACAAGAAACATATCAAATAGGGCTATCTATACGGTAGGTAAAACAGGATTAAGTTTTTTCAATCCCGAATATTGTGTGAAATTTGACCATAAATAAAAAAAAATACACCTATGAGTTCTGATCGATCTTAAGCCTAAAAGTTCTATGAGTAATTCTAATCGAAAAGCAAATAGCAAATAGATAAATGAAAATCTCATTAAACGACTTCAGTTGCAATTAAGGATTCATATAGGAGTTGTCTATAGAACACTCCGGGTGTTTTGGGAGGACCTTACACCTGAATTTTTAACCAACACAAACTGAGATAAATGTCTTAGATTAGATCCTACATGGGAGTAATGGAACAAAATCAGGTGCTATTAGGGACTACAAACACCCGAATTTTTAATTACACCACCCATACTTGAAAATTACACCCAAATATCTAGTGTAACTCTGATATAAATTGATTGTAACTAAGGTGCAAGTAGAAATTCAAGTGTTGGAGAGTCAAGCAACACACGAATTCTCCTTTATCTCAGATAGTTACCTTCTTGAGCACTAATCTCAAAGTCATCTGAGACAAAAAAAATTCGAGTGCCCAAAGGCCATAAAACATACGAGTGTCTTTTAGCAATTCCGATTCATATATCTATGATATACAGGAAAAACTAAGTTACATGAATGTAACATCAAGATAAAATCCAAAAGTTCCACTACGGGATACTGTGCATTTACCGAGTGTGAGTAACACTCGGCAAATAGTGATACACACTCGGCAAACTCTTTACCGAGTGTCACACTCGGTAAAGTGGACTCGGCAAACAACGACTCGGTGAAGTTATTTTACCGAGTGTCTAATATCGGTGCACTCGGAACATAGGTTTACCGAGTGCTGCAACGACACTCGGTAAACAATTATGACTTGACGGTCGTTAGCCTCCAAACTGACCGTTAACGGCGAATTTTACCGAGTGTCACCAGCAGCACTCGGTAAATAAATTAGCATTTCGTGATTAAAACAATTCCGTAAATAAATTTTTTGAATAATGTTTACCGAGTGTAGCTCCTAACACTCGGTAAAACAATAACCAATTTCATGATTAAAACAATTCCGCAAATAAACTTCGGGAAATAATGTTTACCGAGTGTTCACACTCGGTAAAAAGTAGTCAAATATTACCGAGTGGCGATGTGGCACTCGGTAAAAAATGGCACACTCGGCAAAATTCACAGAATCAGAACCAATTTGGTTCTGTTCTCTGTTTTACCGAGTGCTGCACTCGGTAAAACTGACAGAAACTCTGTTTTACCAAGTGCTGCACTCGGTAAAATATGTCCACAGAATTTTTTTTTGTTTGTTTCAGTGCATATCCAGTCACAATAAGCAACAAAATCACAGAAAATTATAATAACATGACAGATAGGCAATATATATCACATATATGTCCACAAATGTCACATCCACTCACAATAACCAACATATGTCGACAAGCACCATGCAAAGTCCACAAACACCATCAACATGTGTCCAAAGTCCACAAAGTTCAACCAAGTCCACAGTTCAACATAGAAACCCATCAAACAAGGTCGGATGGCCTGTCACATGGTCGGAGGCCTGCAGAGAAATGGAGTCAAGTCTAGGTCTTGATCACCCTGCATATCGTTGTTCGATCCAGCTGTAGAAGGTCCCTAGAATGAGATTGCACATGTGAGTTATCTAGATCAAAGCAAATTCTAAGGTCTAAGCTATGGTAGGTCAAACTAAGGTATAAGTCGAAGGTATATGACACGAAAGTGAAGAGTGCATCTAAGTGACTCACAGGAGTGCCGTCGCGCGGAGGTGGAGGCACCAACGGTATCATCGGCGGCGGCGGAGGCGGTGGAGGCTGGCCCATGCTCTGAGAAAAACGGACCATGTACTCGTACCAGTCCTTGTGCGCCTGCTGGAAGGCCTCAAGCTGGGCCTGCACCCGCGCCCTCTCCTGTGCCAACTCGGCCTGGTGCGACAGCTCGAGGGCCTGAAGCTAGCTCTGTGAGGCCTGCTGTGACTCCTGCAGGGCTTCAATCTGGGCCTACAATTATTTATCACATAGTTAGAATGCAAATAAAGAACGAGTAGAAAATGAATGGACAACGAATGCAACAGAACTAACCTGGAGTGCTACCACCTGGGGCTGTGAGCGTGGGCGTATGGCCGGACTCGAACTCGTGCTCCGGGCTCTAATCTGGGCGAGTGTCTGAGTGTTGGCCGTGTCTATGGTGCTGTTGCCCATATAGTACCGCCCTTGTGGCTTACCTGGTCCCAACCTCATGACGATGTCACCCTCGAGGTCAGCGGTGCTCGGATCAAATTCTGACCCATGGATCTCTCTCGCCATCGCCGTGTACTCGCTTAGGCGCATGTGCACGCTCGGGTTGCTGTATGCCTCGGGCGGGTCCTCCGCGTTGTAGACGAGGTCGGGGTCCTTTGCCTTGCCCTTGTGTGCCAAGGCATATGCCTTGAACGAGGCGCACTCCTGGCCGGGGTGGAACCGCGTCTGCAGGAAGAAGCACAACAATAAGATATTATGCATTCAGAAGTTAGCATAGCAACAACGAAATGAAATCCGCGTACATATCTGGCTGCATATTCCTTGAGGGTAGTGGGGCCTTGTTTGTGCGAGGAACCCTGCATCATCGCACGGCAACGTGAGCGTACGGCGTGATATTGCTCGTACTCCTCACTCAACCACTTGTCCACAATGGCCTCCCAGCAGTTGTCCATCCCCGCACACCAAGCAGGAGGCACCTGCACGTACACGAGCACATGACAAATCATAAATCAATTTCAGTGCAATTAATCACAGACGATGTAATCTCATGTTTACCGTCAAGTATTGCTCCTTAGTCAGGGGCAGGTGCACTGCCTGCGCTCTGGTGACTCTGTTTCCTCTGCGGGCATGGTAAATTCTTCTGCACAGGAGCTTTGTCTCGTAGAAGAGGTCCTGCACTCGGTGAACACAGACTCTGTTCACCACGTCATCCGCGTCCTCCCTACGTACTCCCTCCGCCAAGGTGTAGTAATCCTACAAGCAAATACAGTCAGTAATATACAATTAATGTGATGTTATTATCAGCATAGTGCGATGAACACGTATCCTGGCTCTTTCATCACCCGGTCGGCCTTGCTTTGTTATAACACCGCAAGCTCGATCGGTCCCGATTTGGCGGCGTGCTGCTGGGACCACTTCATGGCGGGCTGCACAACACCATCGATCCTCACCATCCGGGGTAGTTTGCCCCGCACGAAGACCTAGGATCCCGTTTACTCGGCGAGAGTGACTCCACTGGGATCACCATTTCCCAATCCTCGCACGAAGTTATTGAGATTGAATATTAGTTTTTGTTATAACTTAAAAACACGTGAATTAGTGTTAACATGCAAAATTACTTACTTAGTTCCGGATGGTCGAATCACGGCCGCCTCTCAGTATGGGGAAGTCCGGGAGGCGCGACGACCCTCGCAGCCCAAACCGTAGGCACCCCATTTTCCTCGCCACCAAGTCGGCATCCTCCTCGCGCTCAGCCCGCTCGGCCTCATCCTCCTCCGTGCCTCCTCCACCGCCTCCGCTATCTCCTCCCCTGGTCTCCTCCTCCTCCTCCTCATCCTCCTCCGTGGCCGCCTTCTGAACTTGCTGTCGTCGTCCTGTGGAGGAGGTGTCGCTCTCGATGCCCTCTGCCGCCGCCCTCCTCCTCCACCTGGGCTCCTCCTCCATCCTGGCTCCACCTCCCCAGGCACGCCTCGTAAGTCGTCCTCCTCCTCCTCCCCAGGCACGCCCTCCACCCCTCGGTCCTGCACGCCTCCTCCTCCACCACGGCTGGACCCCTCGCCACCAGCCAAGAAGGTCATAACCGACCTAAGCTTCTGATTCCACCGCCCACCATCAATCACCGCAACAAAAGGAATAAACTATCAAGACGCACATATACAAAAGTAAATGTATCATACATGTATAAAAGAGATGCAAAATAAGTAAATGTATCATACATGTATAAAAGAGATGCAAAATAAGTAAATATATCATACATGTATAAAAGAGATGCAAATAAGTAAATGTATCATACATGTATAAAATTGCCATAAGTACTACAGATCTTACATGTACTAGAAATAATCATCAAGATCATCGATAGGTGGGCCAAAAAATCTCATCATCGCTATTGTCGACATAATTATGATCGTCTCTCAAAGTCTCATCACTAGCGACTTTGCCTGAATGGTGTTGCTCAAGTAATAACAAGTCCTTGGCGTTGTGAACCTCCTCTCCATCATCCCCGTCAACAATGATCGTATCATTGTCTCTACTTCCATTCATGAGATCTACATCTAAGACAATCTCAAAACTCCCTTCTAATCCTTCTTCTTGAAAGAACTCTCCGTCATATGTGTTTGCATCGATGTTATAATCATCATCGTTTGGGACGGGTACTTTACCATGTGGCGATACCTTGTACACAACATCATACATACGCCTTTAAGACGGTCTTTGGTTTGGCACGGGTATGAGAGATAATAAACTTGCGTGGGCTGTTGGGCCACAATGTACGTCGTCGTCTCCTAACAAGACGGATGACTTTAGAACTTCGACTAACCCAAGCTCGTGGGTCTTTATCACTTCTTTGGGATCAAACCAATGGCATTTGAATATAACAGGATGAAGAGGTACACAACCAGGAAACTTGAGTTTGTATATTTCTTCAATTATTCCATAGTAGTCCAACCCATCTGTGCCTGGCGTGAAAACACCGGTATTTGTGGTTCTTCGATTCGGCCGACTCTGCTCGTGCCGAGTTGTGTGAAAGCGATATCCATTGACATCGTACACAGAGAATGACTTGACCCTAAATTCAAATCCATTGGCAACTTGCCTCAACTCGGCACTCATAGACATGTCAGTTTTGGCCTGCTAGTTCAAGTAGGATGATTCGTTATATATTTGTCAAGTTGAGAGTTAAGTACAAACAACAAATGAAATTGAATAGTACCTCCTCCTTGAACCAACAAATAAAAGTGGGATTTCGTTCTCCCGCGCCATGTCTTAGAAGGGTTTCAACTTCCGCTTCGGTGGGTTCCCTCCGTGATGGACGATGATAGAGGAGAACAAATTTGCTGTAACAGCCGTTAACAAGAGGGTTGGATGGGTGCATGCGAAATATTGACAAGAAAAGAAACAAGTTTGTGTAAAACTTACGCAATGTACGGGCCAACCTCTTCAAGGTTCCATAACACATCTGTTGGATAGAGCGCCACTCTTCTAGGCTCAACATCTTCAAGGTAGGTTCACTTGCACTTCCGAGTTGCCCTCGGAAAAAATTTGAGGGTCGAATGATTGTCGGCGACATTGTAACGAGGGGTGGATTATGCACGTTAGGAAGGTTGTCGGCATAGTATCTTGTTGTGAAGTATGACACCTCCTCCACAATGGATGCCTCTCTGCATGTGAAGCTTCAATTTTGCATTTATTTTTGCATTTTGTTCTAAGAACCTTTAGGCATCGCTCAATTGGATAGCACCAACGGGCATGCACAGGCCCCCCATTTTTGCCTCATATGGTAGGTGCAAGAGCAAATGTTGCATCGGATTGAAGAAGCCGGGGAAAGATCTTCTCCAACTTGCTGCAGAGCAACACCGGGGCCATTCTTTCCATTTCTTCAATCTCGTCCGAGATATCTCCTTAGCACATAGCTTATGGAAGAACATGCTCAACTCTCGCCATCACTCGCCAGATGTGATCAGGAAATAGCCACGAACCATCATCACAGGAAGAAGGCGCTCAATCCATATGTGGTAATCATGACTCTTCAAAACTGTGATTCGCATGGTACTTAAGTTCACACCCCTCCTCCAATTCGCTGCATACCCGTCAGGGAACATCAACGATTGGAACCATTGAAGAACTTCTTTCTTTTGGGCCCTCGTTAGGACGAAGTCGGCCTTAGGCTTCTTCCATGACTTCCCGCGTAAGGGAGGCAACATGTTTAGCTTTGGTCTATCGCGCGGCGTTGCTTGATCCAATCTAGCCTTGACATTGTCCTTTGACTTTTCCCGATCCATGATTGTGTGAAGGACCGCCTCGGCGAAATTCTTTTCAAATGTGCATTACATCAATGTTATGTGGAAGAATGAGGTCCTTAAAGTAAGGAAGCTTCCACAAGCACGACTTGTGTGTCCAGGCATGCTCTTTTCCATATCCCACGAAGCCCCCCTTTTCATTGTCGACCACAAGACCATCTAACATCTCAAGAACACAGGCACTGTCATCATTTCCGGTCAAGAGTCTTCCCTTTGTGACACCTTTTCGAAAGTTCTTCTTTGTCTCTCTGAATGGGTGGTCAAGAGGGAGGAATTGTCGATGTTTGTCAAACGAAGAAAACTTGCCCCCTTCTCCAACCGAAAGAACTCCACAACTGACTTGCATATCGGGCATGGCATCTTCGTGTGAACACACCAGCCACAAAATAACCCATAAGCCAGGAAGTCATGCATGGAATAATGGTACCAAATATGCATTCTGAAGTTTGTCTTTGTGAATCGGTCGTATGTCACTACCCCTTCGTCCCATGCACGGACCAAATCGTCTATCAAAGGCTCCATGTACACACTCATATTAGCCCCCGGGTGTCCTGGAATTATAAGTGACAAGAAAATATTTTGCCGTTGAAAGGCGGACGCCAGTGGGAGGTTGAGAGGATGGCGAATACGGGCCAACATGTGTATGGTGAAGAACCCATTCCATAAGGATTGAACCCATCGGTGCCAATTGCAATGCGTACATTACGAGCCTCATCACTTTTGTCGGTATATGCTTCCGATCGAAGCTTTTCCATGATTCACCATCGGACGGATGTATCATCTTGTCAGTGTATCGGCGTCCAGTTTTGTGCCACGTCATCTGTTTTGCGGATTCCTCGCTCATGAAAAGCCGTTGGATCCTCGGTATGAAAGGAAGGTACCTCAGGATCTTTGCGCCGACTTTTGTTTGCGTCTTCCGACCATCACCAGATTCTAACTCAATGTACCTAGATGCCTTACACTTCGGACAGTACTTATCGTCAGCATGTTCTCCCCTGAATAAGATGCATCCGTTCGGACAAGCATGTATCTGCTCGTACGACATCTTGAGTGCACGAAGGATTTTATTTGACTCATACGTGTTCTTTGGCAGAACGTGATCATCCGGAAGTAGGGTGCCAACTATTGTCAACAGTTGATCGAAGGATTCTCTACTCCAGCGAAACTGGGACTTCACGACCATTAGACGTGCAATGGCATCCAGTCTAGAAACATTGGTGCGCCCGTGAAGGGGTTGTTGTGCCGCATCCAACATGGCGTAAAACGCCTTTGCAGTTTGCTCTGGCTCCTGCTCTGCACTTCCTTCATCGAAAGCCATGTCATGGTCATTTAACATTTCTGCCACCCCGGCTTCAGAATCAAACTCCTCGATCCGTTGTCTCACGACCTCTTCTCTCGCACGATGGCGTTCACCATGCATGGTCCACCGGGTATAGTTCTCTACAAATCCATTGTTGACAAGATCTTTAGTCATCTCCTCATATGTTTTCATTGCCTTGTTCTTACACTTCCTACAGGGACACCAGGCATGTCGCTGTCCGTTTGCAAATGCCTTCGTCATGAAATCATTGGCCTTCTCAATCCATTCATTTGTGTATTGACCCCTCTTCTGATAGCCCGTGTACATCCACTGACGGTCATCCATCCTAACATATAGACGATATTGTAGTTTAGAGCAATAAAACTGGAAATAAGATCAATTCCTCCAAAAAAATAAGAATACAACATCAACAGAGGATGTGGATTCCTGCAATATTGTGCAGATGTCAACTTTGCGAGGAAAACAAAAGCCAGTCTGAAACTCGCACATGCTTAACTCTATGGCATTGCTCAACGTTTTGTACTGGATGTTCAGCCAGAGGGCATGCACTTTGATTATGCTGTAATAACGCTGAATTTATCTGGTCCGATGCAATGCAATGGACTGGGGCTTTGTCCTGGAACTCTAAAAAACTAGTAATATATATGTGGAATATCTATGTGTATCCTAACAACACCTTTCTATAGGTAAAGCTTTTGTTCATCACCTAAAGGTTTATGTTCCAATTAGTGCAGGAAAAATACAGTCTAACAAAGACAGGCAAACAGTTAAATCTTTTCTCTTTCTCTAGTGCCCCGTCTCGATTGCGATAATAATGCAGATAATAAAGCAGCAACACTAGTAGCTAATCGACACACCACACCAGCACCTACCTACTTTCGCTAGGTGGTTTAGTAGTAGCAGTAGTATACAAATTTATTTACAAAGCTCCGTGCACGCTGGAACGTGATGGCACAGTACAGTAGCGTGTGTGTGTGTTTCGTTTAAGTTTCGGCCTCAAACGAACAAGTTTGTTTAGCTCTATATATATATATATATATATATATATATATATATATATATATATATATATATATATATATATATAGTTTCAAACTTGTCAAGGTTTCAAGTTAGAAGAAAAATGGCAGTAGATAAGGGCAGCCTTTTCTTGTTGCGAATTGTGCTCATCGTATCCTTAATTTGACTGCTCTGTACAAGCCGTAAGTACTACTGCTATACTACTAGTAGTGCTTGCAAGCTTCAGTTCAGCACTTAGGTACACGACAAGAAGCTGAGAGAAAAAAGGACAAAGAGAAGTTTCTCGATGGGAGATTCTTCTC